AATAATTGTGATATAAATGTCACAATTATTAGACTTTGTTAATCAGGTTAACACTGATATCTTTATGTTCCTATGTCACAGTAACTGGACTTGGTTAATCAATTTAACATTGACATCTTAACGTTCCTATATCACAATTATTGGACTTGGTTAATCGGGTTAACATTGATATCTTTATGTTTCAGGAACATCAAGATGTCAAGTCCCTATCTGAACAATCTCATCATCGTAGGCTGCATGTTGACTTATACTAGTGTCATCTTGCTGGGTATGGACAGTGGACTTACCAGCGAGAAGAATTTCCCCTATATATGTGCTGTAAGATTATTGTTTTTGTCTTTAATCTCTGTAGTAACTGTAAAATATTCCCTTTACTAAACTAGTCTTTGAGCTCTGTGTTAAATGTTGTTAGCAAAGCACTAATAGGTTGAGTACTAATAAAAATAGAATAGCTGGAAATACAATAAACATGTATCTTCCATTTATATCCAAGTTAGGCTTAGCTAAGGCTAAATGTTTTTAAACCAATGTAAACTGACAACAATTGAAACTTGAGCGGACTTTTGAGCTATTGGCAATAGTTTCGTGGGTTCAAATCTCGACTGGACCCACTGTTTAGTTCTACAGGACTTTGTACATCTTAAAAACACCTTGATTCTGGTTTCTCAAAACCGAATTCACAATAAACAGATTTGATGCTTTAAAAGTTACTGTTATGTGAAAATTGAGACTGTCATCTTGTCTCTTGAGCAGAGCCATGGGTTCAAATTCTTTTCTCTTTCTGATCTTATTCTGTTAATAACTTCAGCAGAAAATTCACTTGTTTGTTTCAAATTTACACAAAGGCTATCCGTACATAATCATTCTAAATTTTGGACTGAGAGAAGAGGCAGCTGGTCAATAGTTCCCACCGCCAACTTTTGTACTACTCTCATCTGAACGAATAGTGGAATCTTATCGTTACTTGTACAGTGCTCCCAAGTATGGAGCGCAGTTTTTGTGAACCACGAATCAAGTCGCGAAACATGAATTCTCGGATTAACAGCACAAGCACGTTAACTGCTACACCACTCCTGGACATCAGTATAAAGTATGCTCGTCTCTAACCCTAGTTATAAATCTTAGCTTAGTTTGTTTCTTTTGTATACTCGTTCGAACCCACACAAGGATTATATATATCTGCACAGTCGTCCCTACTTTTGAGCTGATGGATTAGAGGGAAGGCAGCTAGTCAGCAGCGCCCACCGCCATATCTTGGGCTACTTTGTTACCAACGAAAAGTGGGATTGATTACACATTATAACGCTGTCAAGGCTGAATGACCGAGCATGTTCGGTGACGGGATTTGAACCCTCTAACCACCAGTTCATGCCAGGCTTTATGTCGTTGATCAAATCTAATATATTAATCACTTTTTCAACATTTCCACTGTGAAGCTAGTGACGATATGTAATTAATTAATTAATCATCTAATAAAGCTAAACAGTGGATCCCGTCCCGGAATTTCATTGTTATAAGCCCTCAAGCGACGGCCTCACTAAGGTTTTTAACACCTTTCTATTCATCGACCCGTATGTTGCTTTATGTGATGGTTTGACTTCGATATAAACTTTAAATTAAACTATAAGAAACGTTTTTAATTACATTGTTTTGAAAGAAACGTTTTTAATTACATTGTTTTTGAAAGAAACGTTTTTAATTACATTGTTTTTGAAAGAAACGTTTTTAATTAGATTGTTTTTGAAAGAAACGTTTTTAATTACATTGTTTTGAAAATGAAAATATTTGTTTTCGTAATTGTTATAAAATAGTTTAGATAAACTTGAAAAAATAAATATATATGTACATGTGTTTATAATATTAGTATTTTTATGTATATGTGTGTGTTTTTTATAATATTCGTATTTTATGTGTTTGTATAATAAACTAGTTACTGTAAAATATTGTAGTGTGTGTGTAAGTTAGAACTGTTACTGTAAAATATTGTAGTGTGTGTGAGTGTTAGAAATGTTACAGTAAAATATTGTAATGTGTGTGAGTGTTACAACTGTTAAAAGAATCAAGGGACCGCTATATTTTAATAATTGGTGATTCGTTTCCATTACGTCAGTTGCTAACAAAATATCGTGGCTCATTCAAGCTCTATGTAACATGTAAAACTCAACAAAGAAAATAAAAATAAAGCGAGATAATTTTGTGATGACAGTAGATAACACTCACTTTCTTGTTTAACTTGATGTCAGTAAAGATGGCGTGGACTCTCCAGGTCTTACTAAACATGGAACCAAAGGCTAGAGTGAACCCCGACATCAGTACCCAAGCTCGTGCCTAGAAAACGGAATCTGTTTTATACTTGCAAAAAACGAATCGTACACACATATGAAAAAATACGAATATTATAAACACATATAAAAATACAAATATTATAAACACACACACACACACATATATATAAAATACTAATATTATAAACACATATAAAAATACGAATATAAAAATACAAATATTATAAACACACACACACACACACACATATAAAATACTAATATTATACAAACACATAAAATACGAAGTTACAGTAAAATATTGTAGTGTGTGTGTGTTACAACTGTTACAGTAAAATATTGTAGTGTGTGTTACAACTGTTACAGTAAAATATTATAGTGTGTGTTACAACTGCTACAGTAAAATATTGTAGTGTGTGTCACAACTGTTACAGTAAAATATTGTAGTGTGTGTGTGTTACAACTGCTACAGTAAAATATTGTAGTGTGTGTGTGTGTGTTACAACTGCTACAGTAAAATATTGTAGTGTGTGTGTGTGTGTTACAACTGCTACAGTAAAATATTGTAGTGTGTGTGTGTTACAACTGTTACAGTAAAATATTGTAGTTTGTGTGTTACAACTGTTACAGTAAAATATTGTAGTTTGTGTGTTACAACTGTTACAGTAAAATATTGTAGTTTGTGTGTTACAACTGTTACAGTAAAATATTGTAGTTTGTGTGTTACAACTGTTACAGTAAAATATTGTAGTGTGTGTGTTACAACTGTTACTGTAAAATATTGTAGTGTGTGTGAGTGTTAGAAATGTTACAGTAAAATATTGTAGTGTGTGTGTAAGTTAGAGTTGTAACACACACACACACTACAATATTTTACTGTAACAGTTGTAACTACAAAACGCTCTCATCATTATCATCCTACAATTGTGAACTGAAAACCCAGGGTGTTGGGAAATTAAATAATTCCGGCTACTGATATGGATTGTTCTCTAACTCAAAGAAAATCATTGGTAAAATGAAACTTAACTTATAACGAAAGGAATGAAAGCTTAGGATTATTTTACTGACTGTAGTGTTTTACTGTAAATGTTAAGAAAAAAATATTCTTATTTTTAACTTTACTTCAACCACATTGAATTTTAAATTAAAGTAAGGGCTTCAAGATATTGATTGCAAGAGTCGTCTTTGAATATAGATATCATAAGCAGTGTGATATTAAGAACGATTGATTTTTCTCAGTCTGAGATTTGAGCTTGGTTTGAATTTCGCGTAGAGCTACGCGAGGGCTATCTGCGCTAGCCATCCCTAATTGAGCAGTGATAGACAAGAGGGAAGGCAGTTATTCAACACCACCGACCGCCAACTCTTGGGCTACCCATTACTAACGGATAGTGGGATTGACCGTCACATGATAACGCCCCCATGGCTGAAAGGGCGAGCATGTTTGGTAGGACTGGGAATCGAACCCGCGACCCTTAAAAGCCCTAACCACCTGGCCATGCCGGGCCACACTGAGATTTGAATATTTACTTCACCTTTTCTGTCGTTCTGACTTACTAAATGCTGTAAAACACAAGCGATCTATCATAAGTAAAAATAAATTTCTATTGTTCTCTTCTTTAAACTAAACGATCGCCTGTCAGTTAGAAAAAATGGTTTTGAAGAACAACTGAATTGTGGTTTTGATGATAAAATATTAGTAGACGAACTGCGATAATTCACTCAGATATAAAACGGGCGATCTTGCGGCAACGAACCACGGACCCCCTGACGTGATCCGCCGGCACTTGGTCACGTTTGGCCCCACTTAGAATGATAAAGAGCTTTAAATTTGAACTAATTTAATTTTTGTGCACATAAAATCAAAATTTTTGCTTTAGATATTTTAAACTCCTTTAGGCCCAAGGGTCGGGGGTGCTACTGGTTAGTGTACCCGGAATGTAAGTCCGAGGGTTCATCGATTTCTGTTTGTTGAATTTTGCGCAAAGTTATTTAAGAGCTAGCTTTTGAACTGGTAGACCACAAGGAAGGCAGCTAGTCAATAGCACTCTTCGCCATCCATACAGCACAACCACGGATCCCAAAGTGGGAAAGGGTGGGGAGGCAATGAGTCGTCAAACAAAGAAATAATACATCTTCGTGAAAATCATCGCCATGTTATATTTGATTCACTTGTAATCAAGGATATTTATTGATATAAAGTGATTTATTGGATTCACTTGTAATCAAGGATATTTATTGATATAAAGTGATTTATTGGATTCACTTGTAATCAACGATATTTATTGATATAAAGTGATTTATTGGATTCACTTGTAATCAACGATATTTATTGATATAAAGTGATTTATTGATTCACTTGTAATCAAGGGTATTTATTGATATAAAGTGATTTATTGGATTCACTTGTAATCAAGGGTATTTACTGATATAAAGTGATTTATTGGATTCACTTCTAATCAGGGGTATTTATTGATATAAAGTGGTTTATTGGATTCACTTCTAATCAGGGGTATTTATTGATATAAAGTGGTTTATTGGATTCACTTCTAATCAGGGGTATTTATTGATATAAAGTGATTTATTTGATTCACTTCTAATCAAGGGTATTTACTGATATAAAGTGATTTATTGGATTCACTTGTAATCAAGGGTATTTATTGATATAAAGTGATTTATTGGATTCACTTGTAATCAAGGTATTTATTGATATAAAGTGGTTTATTGGATTCACTTCTAATCAGGGGTATTTATTGATATAAAGTGATTTATTGGATTCACTTCTAATCAGGGGTATTTATTGATATAAAGTGATCTATTTGATTCACTTCTAATCAGGGGTATTTATTGATATAAAGTGATTTACAAAACCAACACTTTCTCTGGAGAGAATTCGAAGCTTTGACCATTCTGTTCAAAATAGTCCTAGGTTCGTACATGGTTTTCTGAAACAAAAATTTTTAGTGTTGCTGTAAAAGCCTGTTAGGTGGTTTGTTATTTTACACAGTTTGTACTGTAAAAGTGGACATATTTGATAGCTGTCTGTGGAACCCCAGAAACAATAAACTTTTCTGGTGGTAAGGACTACAGTTTCTTTTAAAGATACTGAGGATTTTTTAAAATTTGTTTGGAAACTGTAAATTTATCTTTATTACGAAGAATATTTAACGTAAGTTTATTTTGCTTGTTTCATTTAATATAAGGTATTTTACATGAAGAAACAATCGTGAACAAAATTTTGCTAACGAATCTGTCGACCATTGAGTTTATTTCTGTTCAAATTTTAATTCAGATTGTGTTATTTTTTGACAGATGTGTTAGTGAAAAGGTCAGCCAGATTAAACTATGGCTAGCCACAATGTTGCTCAAATATTTACTGAGCTAAAGTGAAAAGTTGTTTAGAGCAACTGTTGCTCAAATTTTGAGCCTGGGTTCATTGTTTCTACCAAAATTTTCTGTTACTTACATTTTGAGTTAAGATATATCATTTTTGAAACAAATTCTTATGACAGCAATTATTAACTGTTTGGCTTATTTCTGGCAGCAGTTATAGTTTGAGTCAAATTGAATTATTTCTGGCAGCAGTTATAGTTTGAGTCAAATTGAATTATTTCTGACAGCAGTAAAGTTTGAGTCAAGTGACTTATTGCTGAGGCCCGGCATGACCAGGTGGTTAGGGCACTCGACTCGCAATCTGCGGGTTGCGGGTTCGAATCCTTTCAGCCGTGAGGGCGTTATAATGTGACGGTCAATTCCACTATTCGTTGGTAAAAGAGTAGCTCAAGAGTTGGCGGTGGGTGGTGATGACTAGCTGCTAAATTAGGGACGGCTAGCGCAGATAGCCCTCGTGTAGCTTTGCGCAAAATTCAAAAAACAAACTTATTGCTGACAGTTTGTATCTAATGAACGATTTACTAAAAGCAAAGCTTATTATCTAACAAAACATAGTGTTTTAAACTCTCTGACATTAAACCAAATCACTAGATGTTGACTGATATATTATGTATCTCTTTAAATATTTCCTGTTCTTCCTCCACAGGCAATCAAAGATTACAAACTCTTCATGGTCGTTGGAGTTTTGATGATGATTGATGTCGCCATCTTAACCACGTGGCAGATCATCGATCCGTTTTATCGAAGAACCAGTCTCGGTCCTCCCATGGTAAAAACAACAAGTCTTACAGATTTTATTGTAAAAGCTATTTTTATATAAAAAAACACAAAAATACCCGACGTTAACAGAACCTAACGCTATAGCTAGAATATTTCTAGATGTTTGGCGGAAACAGAAATGTCCAAATTGGGACTAATGTTTCATTGTTGTGTTAAAAATAGATTAATATTAATACATTCATATTTCAATTTTAAATGCCATGCAAGACGATGGTCGAAGTAACGACTGGTTAAATTGGCTATTTTCTTATTAAGAGACACTTAATGGTTTGTCATGCTATTTATATAAATATATGACCTAAGTGGTTTTTTTTCAAGAGATTAAGAAGTAAGGATAGAGCATAATGGACTCTGCGTCTGTTTCATTCACTAGCCAATGACAACACTGTATATAGAAACGTACACCGATAAAGGGTTAAAAAAAAGCATAGGCTAAAGGTCATACACATAATGGAAAACAAGAAAGTTCAGGAACATTAGCAAACTCACAAGATCATTATTAGATCATTCTATGTCATCTCTAGCCTTTCCGTTCTTCCTTTAAATATTCTAAGTACATACTCAGTGACCCAATAGGCGGAGAGTGTTTCTTGAAGAAACTAGAGAAGAGCAATGAGACAGAAGACAGGAACCAACTGTTAATATATATATATAACGTTATGTCCGTCAGTTAAAAGTGT